TGAACGATGGCTTTTATTAGTAATACGGGCATTTTTCTTGTTATTATTTCTTGGCAGCGACATTTTTAGTGTTAAAAGTTTGTGTGCGTGTACAGTGAATGTGTAAGTTTATTTTTTTTTTTTTGGTTTTTTTTTTATTCAATTTTTTTTTTTTTTTAAAAAAAAAAACTGATATTGATGAGGGACTGCTATACATTATATGGGTTACTAAATCTACGAGGCCACATTCAAAGTTAGAAAAGTCAAGGCATATTGATGGGGAACCGCATTATGGGTCTACGAAACCACATTCGAATTTAGGAAAGTCAGGGCATGAAAGATGCCAAAAAACAAGACGCTTAAAGTACAATTGGAGTTTTTACAATGTCTTTTATACTATTGTCTATATATGACTCATACAATTTCTTGCGTAATGTGATCACGTTGACCAATTAGCATTAGAGTTTATGAGTTTATTTGCAGCAATTGATTTGCACTAGCCAATTATGCGAAAGTACTGACATATAGACTCCTATTAATACGATATACCTCTCTATATGAGTACCCGGGTATATCATATAAGCTAGAGGAATACCCCAGATACACATGTCAGAAGAATACGATACATCTTGTATAACGCTGCAATTTATTAATTAGCTCAATATAATCTTGCAGATTATCATGTAACTCCTTATGGGGCTTTTGGCATGGATGCCGATCAGGTACAGGTGCGTCAATTTCTAGATTAATTGTAGTAACCAGTGAATTTAGATATTGAACTGTTCTATCCATTAATTCACTGTCCTCTTTCATTTTCTTTCATTCAAATATTGGCGCATCTTTGCATTTTCCTATGCCATATACATGAACGCTGCCTCGATGCTGCCATTCGAACCTGTACCACCAATCCTCCAAATTTCACTTTGGAATTAACACATTTTCTAAAAACAATTTGAAGCGATTTTTAAAAAACCATGCAGTGATATGAGGATTATTAATTAGGTCACGACACCGTTTCTTAGCTGCATCTTGCTCGGAATCTTTTGTCCCCTCATTATGTAGCATAAGCTTATGGAGCTCTGGTCAATGCAAGTCTGCGGTACTAAATGTAAAAAAAATCATTCCTCGTGTTCCTATCTGTTTAATCATATTTGACAATTCAACTCGCCGTTTATTCCAAAATTGGCGAGTTCCACGCAGCCCTTCACCATACTATATAATTTGGTTAGCCATATGACAATTTTCACTATTCATCTCTTGAACTTCTTCAACAGTAAGTTGTTTGTCATACAAACCCTGCTTAACATAGACTCTTCCTTCTTATAAGGCTCTCTATCACATTTGTGAGTTTAATGCAAAGTATTTCCAACGAGTATGGTGCGCAAATCTATCGTCTTTGTACTTAAGCATGTGTTGGAAATACTCGGCGGGTTTGACATCTCTTACTCGTTCTGCTCAAAGATCAGCATTTCTATATGGATATAGTGTTGGGAAGGCATGTGCTATATAACCGGGAGTATGAAATTCATTTATGAGAGTGCCATCAATGTTTGGCTATGTAATTAGTGTAGGTTGTGATTGCATTTGAGAAAGAGCATCTCTGATGGCATCATTTTCGCGATGAGATGGTGAAGAAACAAGAACGAAGTTACGTATAATATTATCTTCGGTTTCATTTTCATTATTATCTAATTCATTTTTGTTATCATTATCAGTACTTTGTACCTGTGGTAAATAATCATCTATAGGCCCATTTTCAGGCAATGATTGTAGTACTTCATTATCAATAA